GAACCTGGGTCCTCTGAAAGAGCAGCCAGTGCTCTTAACCACTGAGCCATCTCTCCAGTCCCCGGTGTGGCTATTTTTAATGACTAGTTTTTCATTAAAGATTATTCTGTGCAATGCCATGAAGGAATCATGTTTAATTGCTCCTCATCTATTTGTTCCAAAATGGAATTTGAAGAATGCTGAAAGATGGTGCTAGCAAAACATGAACAACTTTCTCTATTAAAAACAAATTCTATTTGGAGATAGGAAGGAAGACAAGCCGCAATTCCCTTCTCCGGGCAACCTGACATAAAAACGGTAAAATAACCGAAGAATTTACTTTAAGAAGTGCACAGTGTCTATGAGTTCACAGAGTTTTTCCGTTTTCTTGTCCCACACCTCTACCACGGGGCTGTTTTTCTTGGCAACATAGAGAGCCGTGTCGACTGCCACAGCCGTGATGCTGGAATCGCTGAACGCTGCGTAAGAAAACCTGGGAAGAAAATATGAGCAGAAATGTAGACCGTTAACACCATTAGAAAACAAACAAGCCGACTTCATAATTACTGCACGTTTTCTCAAATGTCGTTTCATGACTTTGATGCTTTTTTACTCTTTGTGGGCACATTCGGTTCCCTTGATCATAAAATAAACACTGTAACTCATATTTATTTCTGGGTTTAGTTTTAATTTTAGTTCTGAGTCTGTATAGAATTTTATACTGTATCTTGACTTCTAGAAGAAATATCATAGTATCTATAAATTGGGGGCGTTTTAATAAAATCCTTCTCATGAGGTTTTGGAAAATTAAGAATTAGCCATTTACACACAGAGCTTGGAAAAAGATGTTGAAATACATTATAGTGGCAATGTCTCCAAATGTCAAAGCTAGAGATAGATTTGCACGTATGCCATCCAAGTTCTGAATAGCTCTACAGTGTTTCAACTGAACACAAACGTTTACACAGAGCTTTAGAATTTAAAATTTACCATTTTCCCTCTTTGAAAATGAGGAAGATGATAAGAATGTTCAGGTATTTCTCTCCTAACCTAAGACATTGGCACCATAATTTTTCACAAGCAAACTGGAGACCGTGGGCCCCATCTACATGACAAGCTCCAACTTGCCTTTGAGGCTTCACCCAAATATCAGCTCCTCTGGGGTTATTCCCTGACCTCTGAAAATAGACCAGCCACTCCCTCTGTAGTCTTTGTTAAACTTAAAATTTTTATTTATTAGTGTGGCCCTCACACTAGATTGTAAGTGCAATTTCTTAGAAACAAATACCGCATCATTTCTATATACACAAGACTGGGTAAAGCCCTGGTGTCTCTGCTACACTGGACAGTGTGTTGAGTGGACAGAAGGATGGACCGATGAAGCATGACTATCAGGATGGACGGCCATGCTGAAAAGTGTGAAAAGGTCAAATATGCAACTGAGTCAGACAGACAGTATGAAAACAACACAGGCCTAAAACAATCATCAGTGTGTCCCAGGACAGAAAGATCTTTTTCTGGATTCTTTTAAGGAAGATGAAAATCAGTCCTCTGTCAGGGAGCCATTCTGTTTGCAGTCAGGGGTATCTCCTGTATTTAAGAGAAAATGGTGGTGTGGGCACAAACATTCACACACGGTTTAGAATTTATAAAGAAGTTTTACATGGTGTCTTATCTAACCCTAAACCATAAGTTTATAGAGCAAGGAATGTAACTCAATGACAGAGAACTTGCCTAGCATTCACCAGGCCCCAGGTTCTGACTCCACACCATAAATAACAATAATAAATTGACAAAACATCATCAATTTTGACACTTAGAAATACAGAAACAGTGCCTTGCAAATGGTAAATACATTGCCCCAGGCCACATGACTAACATGTAGCTGAATCCAGACACAAAAGACAGTCTGTGGCTTCGTCTGGCTCCAAAATCAGACATCTCAAATGTGCCCCTCGCAGAGTGCTGGCCGTGAGTGGGAGGGAGGTCTGATGAAGCTGCCCTGGCTGGGGCGTGCTGGGGAAGAGGCCAGGGAGCAGGAAACACTCTTAGAAAAAGGTAAATGCGTCCCTGTGTTCATGATGGTGACTGGCGATCTCCCCAGGGTGGTGAATACCCACAAGACGCTGGTATTTATAGATGTTCTCCAGTAAAGCATCTGGACTGCAAAACCCCTTCAAGGGCTCGATTCAAACCCATCAGGCTTTAGGAAGCTAAATAACTGGAGGTCTCTGCTTTTAAAGAATTTTAGTGCAGTGGGACCTGGACCTGACAGGACACTGGATGCAGGTTCTGCACTGACCCACTGGGTAAAGGTGACTTGTTGATCTTGTCGCTAATGTTTGCTCCAATTCTGTGCTATGAGCTTGTATAAGAGTTAGTTAGCATTGTTGGGGATTCTTAAGTAAAACTATTTAATTAAAAATAAAGGATTTTAGAGTTGTATACTTATATTAGCAGTGAAATTACAGAAAGACGACCATCTACATACCACATATGAGCAAGCACAAGTGTGATTATGCAAAAATATCCCCATTTAAAAAGCTGCACAATATGCTGTAGTACATCTTAATCCTGACTATATTTCAGAATAATCCAATTGCTTAAAAGAAAAGCAATAAAATGGAAGCCGGGTCCTCTGAGTTGTTCAGAGGTAGTAGGCCCCAGGTGTTACCCAGCTGTGAGACGATTTTTACTATCTAGTGGTTTCTGATATGTAGCTAATGGAAATCCACTGCCCCTACTAGGACTAAGACATTGCTTTTAAAGGCAATTATAAAAATAAGACAACTATTGTGGGGGCTGGAGAGATGGCTCAGGGGTTAAGAACACTGCCTGTTCTTGCAGAAGACCTAGTTTCGAATCCCAGCACCCACATGGCAGCTAACAATTGTCTGTAATTCTAGTCCCAGGGGATCCGACAGCCTCTTTTGACCTCCGTGGGCACTGCACGACATGGGTGCAATAAAAAAAAAATAAAAAAAATAAAAAAATAAAAAAAGACATCTATTGTGAAGGAAAGAGACAGAGTCATGAAAGGCAAAGACAGGACTCTCGACCCACACAGGAGGGATGGGGCAGCCGCAGAGGAAGAAGCTTTGGAAGGGAACTGGCGAGGCACGGGCGAGGCAGTGACCCCAAAATCAGCCACATTCAAAGGCTGGGGGCCAGCGGGGGAATGCTGTTTTTGAGAACGAGGCAATTTCAGTTTGCCCAAAACACAGGAAGCTGTAAAATGTGAATCTAGAGAATTAAGCAAGAAGCCAGTGATGCAGGGTCTGGTACGGCAGGGTTTCCAGTGAATGCAAGGCAAAGCCGCTGAGGGCTTGAGGACACTGGCTTGGGCTGGCTTGCGTTTTGGAAGGCCCCTCTGCCTGCGATGCCGAGAACAGCCTGAAGACCAGCAGAGTGTCTAAGCAGAAGCTGAGGACAGGAAGATACCCTGTTTACAGACCTTTGGTGTCTCACCCATGGCAGCAGAGCAAAGAGTGAGTACATGGTTTGATAAGCAATTAGGAAAGCCAGTCACGATGGGAGCACAGGGCGAAGTAGCCAAGGACGAAGCCCAGTTTCAATAGTGGGCAACCAGGAAGATTTGGAAACAAAAATATCCCCCAAGTATCCGTTTGTAACCCAAAGCTAATAGCCATCATAGTAGCTAACATTTTGGGGTGCTTACCAGTCCTAAGCATTATATTAAACTCCTCAAACTGCTTTCCTTATTTGACCTTCTGAACATCTCTCTGAGACAGAGAACAGTACAGTCTTGAAATCAGAGAAGAATGAAGACTCGAAAGGTTTTTGATCGACTTTACAAAACCAATACATGGTAAAACCAACATTTGAACTATAATGTTTCCTTTTGCATTCATATTACACTGCTCATCACTGAGAAAAATAACAAAAAGAAAAAAGCCAAATGTGGTTAAAATTCATTTAGAAATTGGAACTATCCATTGGAGCCTGGTTGGCACCTCAAGAAAAAAGCAATGACCACCCCTCCCCAAGAATCCATCACTAGCCAGTAGTTCAGGGGGAGAGAGGGTACTGTGGACACCTTCCCAGTCCATGACTGATTGACTGTGGGCCCAGTCGTCTGTGTAGGCTCATCGCAGACAGTTACAGCTGCTGTGAGGTGTGACTGCGACATGCTCTGAAGTCACTATTTCACAGCCAATCTCTTTATCTCCTGGCTCTTATGTTCCACCATGATCCTTGAGTCTTATTGGTGTAAATGTCCTGTTTGGGACTGAGCTGAGTGCCATCGCTTATTCTGAGAGCCCTGTGGTCACACAGATGATTCCAGTGAGACTCAGTGGGTCCCACAAAATGAGGGGAAAAGGGGGCTACTATGGGAGGGAGGGAGATTAGAGAAGGTGAGGGTCACATCAATCAGAGTGCACTTCACACATACGTGTATGAAACTGTCAAAGAACAAATTCAATAAAAATTACATTTTTATAAAGTAGAGCAGTAAATTAGCACAAGGCTAATATCTTTAATTCTTATTTAAACTTGTGTCACAAACTTGGCTGTAATTTTGATAATTATCAAATCTAGAAATATTTGTCCTTGAAATCTAAGTTTTCTATAATTTATACTCAGGAGAATTGTCTAAAACTGCACATATAAAACCCATGGCTTTGGTTAAATGAACACTGATAATCTCCCAATTCCACATGCCTAATTTGAAGAGATAATGAAATTGTTTAAAGTCTAGATTGATAAATACTCGGGATTATAATGGGTTGGCATATATTATCCCAAAAGTAATTAGACTAGATAATATTTTAATGCTACTTTAAGGTCTAGAATGAACTAGTTTTTCTATAACGAATGTTTAATTTTATAATAGACAAATTATGCATTTCGAATACTGATAGCATCATTTTGCATTGTGAACACTATGACTGATAATGATTATAAGGGAAAAACACGAATAAGTGGACACTCAGTTATACAGGAAGAAAACAACTTACAGCTGGCTGGTCCTTGTCTCGATGAGTTTCTGAATGGTGAAATCACTGGAAAAGGAGAAGACTTTGGTGCCGCATCCTCCCCAGGTAAGGTTTCTTTCAGCTGAATTCATGGACTCGCTCAAGCACATGAGGGGCATGCTGACATCACCTATGTGTAGCGTCTTCAGGGGGACAGCACCTTTACACTTGCCAGAGAGGATCACAGCAAACTGAGTACTGTGCAATGCAATGCTCTGCAAGCTTTTACTCTACAGAAGGGCTTTTCCTTTCCAAATGATTGCAGAGTTAAAATCAGAATTCAAACACACTTTTCAAATGGAAGTGTCTGTGTTTTATTCTGGTTTTATAAGGAAGATCTACTTCACTCACAGAAATTGAGTTTTCTCTTCTATCACTGCAAATAAGATTTCATTTACTTTTATATTTAGTTGATTCATATAAATCACACAGTCAAGCAGCAAGTATTTTCAGAGGATATATTATGTGTAAGAATTTATGAAACAGGAAAAGGATAAAAGGCAGAATGTACAGGGTGATGCTAGCTATCAGGGATCTTATAGCAGTGTGTAAGGGCGGAGAGATAGGCAAATCGAAGGGTTTAAAATAGTTTTTATGTAAAATGTATTCAACATTTACCTTAACTGCCTTATCTTCAAAAATCACTAAATTGCCATCAGCAGTTCCCACCAAAAGAAAATTGTTTTGCTTGCTGAAAGGAAAAAAGTCAGGATTGTTACAAAGTAATATTTCCATTGACTAAGATAGATTTAAAGTTCCCCCAGCTTGAGCAAACTTTAGGCAGGCTTCTTCCTAACCCCCTTCATCCTTGCTTCCTTAGAGCTGTGGCCTTACAACACTTGTAATTACAAATTCTCTGCTTTTTTTTTTTGAAGTGTAAATCTTTTCCCAGCCTCTTACAGCATAGGAAAGCCTTTCCAAGAGTCTGGGACTTCATATTCAACTAACATGCAATTATTGAGAGATATGTGCCTATTTCCAGGTCTCTGGGGGAGAGCAGCGACCCACCTTAAGAGACAGTTAGCAAAGACAGGCAATGGACTCACGTTAACAACATCCCCCCACTGACAGCACCCTCCAGCATTTTCTACAGCCTGCTTAAAGCTCCCCTATCCTTGCATCACTGGAATCAGATTTGATTCCTTTCTCCACTATGATAGCCTCAAATAAAATCTTCTTTCCTGTCTAACTACATCCAGTGAAGTTTTTCTTTAACACTGTCCAAATAATTTCAACTCCAAAATTTTCAGTGTTGTGTATACTCCAGGCACCAAAACTGGACTCCGTGTTCTCCATTACGTTTTCCGGTGCTGTCTTAAACCCGAGATGCTTAGCTGGAAGTATCATCTTAATGGCTCCTGGAAATCATCTTGTCCCAAATAGTACAGCTACCCACCTAGGAATCGGGCCTGAAATTTTGCTATTTAGATACACTGATTATGGGCTATAGCAGTTCAGTGGTAGAACACTTGGATCCATTTCATTGGGATAGGATCACTATAAACGAAAAAAGTTGTCTATTATTAAGAGCTTATAAGTTAATTAAAAATGTATTACGTTCATTATTTTAGTGTGTAGGGGTGTACCCTGGCATGGCATGGGTGTGGAGGTCAGAGGGCACCTTGTAGGAGATTTTCTCCTCCTCCTGCCTGTGGGGCTCATGGGGTCAGGCTTTGGGCAGGTGCCTTTACCCACTGAGGCATCTTGCTGGCCCATTTTTAATTTTTATTTTTACAGCTTATAAGTTTCTTCCTAAGTGGTGGTGAGCTAGCTAAACTGGTGAGATGTTTCTGTATGCATTCAAAGAAAGAATGAATAAACATTCACCTTTGAAGAGGTCCCACCTTTACCTGAGGATAGCAAAGGTAGGGCCACAGCTGCCCCTGAAAATGCTTAGTTTTTACCCACCTCAGCTAAGCCTGTATATAGAGAAATAGCATGTATCATTAACCAGTGAAAAGTAGCTGAAGTTGAACAATCTTTGCTGATGCAACACTTCTGCAAATGATTAAATCATCTAAAAGTTGTATATAATTTTCTGTCAACTAATTGGCAACCATACCTCTGCTTGGAAAAGGAATTGCAATACAGACAGGTAACAGAATCCGTCATCTTTTCCAGGTTGTGCCTCTTCGTCTCGTCTCTGGTGTTGATGACCAGGAGAGCCCCCGACTGTGTCCCGCACACAATCCAACTTTCTTTTTCAGCAGGAAGATGCACCAAAGCCAAACATAATATTCTACTATCCACCACTTCCTGTTAGAAAAAGAAAGTAAAATCTAAAAGACCAGGTTGTAAGCTACCAGTGTGTGTACAGAATGAAAATGTTCTGTTATCGACATTCTTGACTCTTGCTACTTTCATGTACTTACTTTTACACACAATGCCTATTCTATTCAATTTTCAACAATAAATTGTTTATCTGGCTTTTTTTTCCTATCTAGTTTCAGAATGCATCTAAAGCTAAAATTAAAAGCCATATGGAAGAACTATCCAACTTTAAGCACAATTTTAGGCACAATATTTATTTCAAGGCAACAATCAAAATATCAGTTTACTTTTTAACTCTATAAATGTATCTGGTTGCCACTTTATTGCTCTATCTTATAAGAGCCATGCCCAGATCTCTTTTGCCTATTCCCCCACTGAGGGGACTATTGACTACCAACAGACCCAGAAATGTGGGACTACACTCTCTGCTCCTTCTGCTTCTGAGAAGATGGCAGTTAATGGCTGACTGACAGGGGAAAATCAATGTCTTTCTTCTGATACCTCCTGACTATCTGACCCCTTGCATATGGACACTCAATGAATTTCTGGTCTTCACGTAAAGGCACTAGATGACAATCTGATCTCTTGTGTGTGGACACTGGTGCTGGTCACACACCAGAGCCCTTGTGGAAGACACTGAGACCCTCTGAGACCACATTTCCTGAGCTCCTTATTCTGTCTCTTCTGTCTTCCTTTATCTCCTCGAAAGCATGTCACTCCATGAGTCATTCTGACAAAAGAACCTGTTTCAGGCTGTTTCTGTGGATCCTGACCTAACACATGTGTACAATGTGACTTTAAAGCTAAACTTATTTCACATGCACGCACTTGTTTGAAAAGAAAGCTAATTTAGTAACCCTTCTATCTTGGCTTTTATTTGAATTCTTCCGAAGTAATTTTTAACTGATCTATGCTTTAAGTTATTTTAAAATAAGTGCTCTAAAAGATTTCTAATGTAAGGAGAATTCAGATTTACCTCATAACTGCATTTTTCGGTGTTTAAGTCAAGGAAAGAGAGCTGCCCCTTGTCGGTGTGTCCACAGCCCAGCCAGAGGCTTCCATTCTTGCTGTTCAGATTTGTAGCAACCATGCATTCAACAATAATGTTCTTAGGTATTAAAATATGTCTCATCAGACAAATTAATTCAGCTGAATTCAAAATGTCAAAGACCTGAGGAAGTTTAAAAGTAATAAAACAGTACACGTCAAGTTAACATTCCCCTTCAACATCAAATACAGAACAAAATGTTTCTTGCTCTAGCAAGAAAAGCCTAGGCTTCTTGATTAAACTCTGACTAGTCCAGACCATCAAGATCAATAGTGCAAATTACAGACAAAATTACTTTTAAAACAAACATATTTAAACTGTACATGACATATGCAGGTGATGGGGTTGAAGAGATGGCTCAGCCGTTAAGAGCACTGGCAGCTTTTACAGAGGACCCAGGTTTGGTTCCCAACACCCACATGGTGGCTACCTGTAACTCTAGTTCCAGAATCCAATGCCCTCTTCTGGCTTCCGCAGGCAAAACACTCATATACATATAATAAAAATAATACAATTTAGAAGAATTAAATAAATTAAATAAAAAAAAATAAGACATGGGCGAAGTATAACTTGAGGACACCAGCAGTTATGTTATGGAAATGTTCACTGTGATAAAATAACAAATGCAAATTAAACTTCATGTGACTATCCCTGGTGACAAGTGTGACACTAAAAGCCAAGTGAGCCGAACAGTCAAAGTTGGTCGCACTTAGTGCTTTTGTATAGAGCTGTTTCTGATTATGACATTTAAAGGTAAGGAAATCTTCAAATATAAATTATCATCCCGAACCAGTAGATCACAACATAAAGATCACTTTATTTTGATCTATCAAAAGTTATACAAGCTTAAACTATGCTGACAGTGCTCTTTCAGGTTATACCACAGAAGAGGTTACTTTGGACAAACTTCCAGTGACAAATTAATTTAAAATGTTGGATACATTTTTAAATGGATTTAAAACTTAAAAATTGTAAGAACACATGAGGAATACCCACACCAACTGTAGTGAGAGATAAATGGAGAGGTTAACTGAACTTTAAGGCCAGACTTGTGCTAAAAGCCTGAGAAGAAAAAACTGCTGTGTAGTTTGGATGCCTTGTGAGGACAGAGGTTAAGAGCCTGCCGAAGGCTGAGCACACCACAGTAAATGTCTGCGCCCATAAATCTGGGACTCCGTAAGGCTGCACATGCAGCGTGTGCAAGAACAATGTTAACACTGCCCACACTTCTACCCTCACCAGAGTAAGAAAGGCTGGGACCTCCCAGGGAAAGATGGTGTGGAGAAGAATTCTGTTAGATTTAGGAGGTGGGAAAAATGAAGGAACATAAAATTTAGAAATAAGAGTCAGACCCAGACCTGCAGCAGAGAAGGAATGTGCTCCCTGGATTCGGAAGCCCAGCAAAGAGCTGATAAAAGCTGCTCCCTGAGGACTGATTAACTGCAAACTAAAGAGAGAGCATTCTGGACTTACATAGGAACTCTGCTGCACACAGCTGCAAGGGTTAATTCCGTGCTGTGGTCTGATGTCCTGTTTTCTCAGACAGGTGGGTAAGTTATCTATAGCACTGAAGGAGACAGGTGGGCTCCACAAACAATCGCTCAATCCAGGGAGTGACCAGTTGATAAGGCTTGAGCAAGGCCAGGAGGCCAATTTAGGGTCAGTTAGACACTTTAAGGGATTTATGGCTTTTCCTAAAGAGGCTTACGGCTCTTCTGCAATTCACATATTCTATGACGTTCCCCATGGAATTGCTGTGGACAAGCTTGCACTCATGTTTACACCAGATTCACATCAGCCAGGTGGTTAAAAACAGAGAAACCCAAGCCAGGATCTAAGGCAATTTGTAATAAGGACCAAAAGGTATGGAAGACCAGCATGTCCAGTTGTACCTACTGAAAGATGCTGAAAAGATTTGAGTAAATGGGGAAACAACCCACATTCAGGAAGAGGAAGGCTGAACTGGAGCGATGGCTCAGTGATTAAGAGCACACGAAGAGGATCTGAGTTCAACTCCCAGTGCACATGTCTGACAGCTCATAGCCACTGGTAACTCCAGATTCAGGCACATGCATTCACATGCACATACCTACATGCAGACGCACACACACACACACACACACACACACACACACAAACTCTGCACCTGCACATACACATACTTTCAAAGTGTGACCTGAAAAGTAATAAGCATTAAAGGAAGACTCAACTTTATCCACATTAAGAATGAGATAGTTTATTCATTAGGACACCCACACGGGGAGTGACAACAGTTTATTCATTAGGACATCCACACGGGGAGTGACAACAGTTTATTCAGTAGGACACCCACACGGGGAGTGACAACAGTTTATTCAGTAGGACACCCACACAGGGAGTGAAAAGGTGAACTACATAAAGAGAAAGTTTCAACATAGAAAACAAAGAAATAATTGGTACACCATACACACACACACACACACACACACACACGTATCTTTCTCTCGTGGAACTTTTAAGCTATTAAGTAGAAAAGTGGACAAAACAACAAACAGGCATTTCCTAAAAGACGATAAATACACTCTAATGTATATGTGTGTTCACCTGAATGTATTAGCGATGGTAGGGGCTTCTGGGTGTTGCCAAAATTACGTGTGTGTGTCAGGATATGTATGTACACACGCATGTGATGTTCTGCACAAAATATTAACAACTTTTTAGAGAAAGTATACCTGGGCAGAAGTAGGTCTTTCTTGAGGATTTTCTTTCAAACACTTTTTAATTAACTTCTCAGCCAGAGGCCATGGAGCACAACCATATTCTTTAACTGGATCTGAAATAGAAAGATAAAAGTTTTGTATCTATTCTTAATACATATGAGTCTAGACATGACAGTGAGGAACACTGATTGCCACAATCCTGTATTATGAATTTAGTTATCACAACATTAAAGCTAATTTTGTTAACTTCATCTCCAGCAGAGATACTACAAAAGGTATTTTCCTGCCTGTTATCTCGGCACCTAGGAGGTAGAGGCAGGAGGATCTGGAAATCAAGGTTAGCCTCAACTACATGGCAAGATCAAAGCATGTGCTACATGACATCAAGTCTCACTCCCCTAAAACAAACAGAAGATGTCTTGATTTTTTTAATGGCCAATAAAGAGATGCAAAAACCAAGTAAATAAAATAAATTTCATTTGATATATGCATTTAAACTACACTTTGAAAACACTTTTGCATATTGATAAGGCTTCTGTGAAAATATTTAATACTCAAAGTAAGCAAGCATTTAAACCATTCTCTGCTCTTGGTCTATGTACATTTTTTTCTTACCACAAATACATCTTTTCGGGGGGGGGTACAGGATAGAGACTGGCTGTTTTCACTAGAAGGTTCACTGGAAAAACAGGAAAGAAGACCAAGTGACATTTCCTTTTGCTAATCTGTAAATGGTCCCAAAAGGAGTAGCTGACTCCATCGTCTCTACACCACTTGGGATTGCGCACTTAGAAGTGCTTCTCAGATGGGAACAAAGTCCCAGAAGTAGCTAAATAACTTTAATTAATTTTTTTAAATGTGTGTGAATGTTTTGCCTGCATGTATGACACACACCCCTGTCATACAATGCCTGCAGAGGCCGGAAGAGGGCATCAGATCCCCCAGAACTGGCATTACTGACTGTTCTTAACTGCCATGTGGGTGCTGGGAACCAAACTCAGGTCTTCTGAAAGAGCAGTCAGTGCTCTTAACTGTTGATTCATCTCTCCAGCCCCAGGCTAAATAATTTTAAAGTGGTATTTTATAGTAGGAACTAAAGTCAAAGTCAAAGGATGGATTATAAGGTCATGGGATTTCTTGAAAATATGAGACACCCATTCAAAATGAAGATTGATTTCATTAAATACTCAGCAATTCTTAATATTTATAGAAAAATTATTATAAATAATTTAATATCTCTTCATGAGCAAGAATTATTTTGTTCTAAGTAATGAAAATACCTCAAGCTAATGTGCACAGGGCATCTTTGATTAGAACTAGAAGTCACCAAACCTGGGTTCGAAGGGTAATTTTCCTTTCCTGAGTAGAATCCTAAAGACACCAGATTCACCAATACTCTGGATTTTGTTAAGCCTAACACAACTAGCTTTCCATGTGATTTTTATTAGGGTATCACAGAATTTAAGGATATCATACATGTGCAAAGCTGTCAGCTTGGAATGAATTAAGTAAACAGAACTTGGGGAAATGACCTGCCAACATTAAGGAACAATCTTTGCTGTAGAATAAAAAGAACTTACCAGGCAATTTTCCTTGGATTGCCAATTCGTCAAACTCATTTGGGAACTTCAAGCCCTCCGTTATTCTACTTCCAGTTGTGAAAATGTCATAGAGTAGCAAGCCGAATGAATAAACATCAGCCTGCTGGTTATAAATGACATTTCCCCTGGCAACTTCAGGTGCCCGGAACCCTGAAAGGAAACAGGTATAGCAATAAATACGTCCAACACCAGGACCCATTCTTGGGTGATCTGCCACAAAGAGACTCAAAGAGGGAAGCTCTGCCTCAGGCCATATCATCTCTACATTGAGAACCTCGAGCAAGTCAGTAAATAGGCTCTTCCCGGGCGCTGTGCCCCAAGATTGATCTTGAAGGACAGTGAACTATTTCAAACCTTGCCGTAAGGATTTATAATCCTACTATAATATCTTTAATCTTTGATAAGATTGCTCTGTATTCAATAATATAGATAAACATTAAATAACAAATTATTAAACAGAAACTCATAATTAAAGAAATGAAGCCTCGGGAAAAATGGCCTGTATTATTTTTTTCATTCTCATTCTCAGTATTAACCATCACCAGGGCAGAGATTTATGAACGGAGATGAGGAGGGAAGCACTTTCTAGATTTCACTCCCATTAACTTGTCTAAAATTCCAGGGATTCTATGAGAGTTCCAGAACTTAGAATCCCATTCCACACAAATGGCAAACCACAAGTGAGCAGATAAAAAGTGCTGGAGCCCAGTAGCAGAGCACTGGCCCAGCGTGAGGGAGCCTTGGGTTTTATCTTTGGTGTCACAAAACTAGTTAATTAATCAATCAACTAATTAAAAATCAAAGTCCTTTCAGGCTTATGCCTGAAACTTTTTCTTAAGTGTGTATGTGGGGAGAGGGTATGCACATATGTGCTGCAGGCACATGTCATTGTTACGTGTTATGTATTTGCGCATGTGCTGTAGGTACACACATCAATGTGTGCTGTATGTGTATGTTACAGGCAAACTTGTCAGTGTGTGTGTGTGTGTGAGTGTGTGTGGTGTATGTGCATGTGTTACAGGTGCACATGTCAGTGTATGTGTGTGGTATACGTGCATATGTGGTGCAGGTACACATGCCAATGTGTGTGTGTGGAGGTAAGAAGTCAACTCCGGGTGCCTTCCTTTACTGTCCTCCCCTTTTACTTTGGACGTGTTTCTCAGTGAGCCTTCAGCTTGCTGCTTCTGCTAGGCTGCCCTACAAGCCCTGGGGATTTGCCCACCTCTGCCTCCCCACTATGGGGATACACACCCACGCCATCACACGTGGCTTTTACTGAGGGGCTGGAGGTCCAATTTCAGGTCCTCATGTTTGCAAAGCAAGCACTTTCCCAACAGAACATCTCTCAAGCCTTTTAATTTTTTAAGAGTATTAAACGTTACACTCCACAAGGAAGATAAATGACTTTTAATTCTTCAGGACAAAATGAACGATTTCAACATTATCGATAATAGTAAAAATATAGATAATCTAAATAAATGTAACTGTAAACACAAAATAATCCAATAATGCATACTATGCAATAAATTAAAATTATTTTTAAAATGGCATTCTGTAACAAAAATGAAAGAAAATATAGGATCGTGTTCTGAGTTAAAAAGTTACTGATAAGCGGGAAACTAAATGAATTTTCTTGGCTGTGATGGTGGTGATGGTACTGCGTGGATGAGCCTCCTGGGGAAATTAATGTCACCTTGTCTGGGAAAGGCACATGGCATCTGCAACTCCATTTCAGACTCATATTCACTTGGAGTCAGAGTAAGAGAAGAACAAGAAGGGAAATGCTTCATGGTCACCGGATCCATGTTAGGGTGCAGGATGCATGTTGTGGTCGTTCAACTATTTTGTAGGTTATATGTGTTAAAAATAGGACAGGATGCATGAAATCAGCAGGGGCTATGGAGGGGTGCAGATGGGGAAAGGAGTCTAGATATGACTAAGCTTTACTGTATGAACTGCACAAAAAGTCAATAAAGTATACATTAAAAAATAGTCAGACTTGATAAAATAAATAATAAATAAATAAATAGTCTGCTGGCTGTGGTGGCACATGTTTTCAATCCCAGCACTTGGGAGGCAGAGGCAGGCAGACTTCTGTGAGATTGCAGCCAGCCTGGTCTACGTAGCGAGATCCAGGCCATCCGGGGCTACCAGGAGATGCCTTTATTGAAAAGACAAAAATAAATAGGTTATAGAAAGATAGATAGATAGATAGATAGATAGATAGATAGATAGATAGATAGATAGATGATAGAGATGACAGATATATAAATAGGTAAATAAGTAAATAAAATAATGGGAGTTTGGGGGGTTGTGCTACACATCTTTAATCCTAGCACTCAGGAGGCAGAGGCAGGCAGATCTCTGTAAGTTCAAGTCAACCTAGTCTACACAGCAACTTCCAGGCCAACCAGGGCTACAGAATAAGACCCTTCTCAAAAAAAAAATAGTTGATGAAAATGTATATAAAGTCTAGAAAGAAATACATCAAAATGGAAAAATGGTTGTGCATATTTTATTTCCTTTTTATATTTGCAAAATTTTTACAGTAAGCATGCATGATTCCTGTGATAATGTAAATATGTAGCTAGGGAATTCAACAATGTATGAATCCACAGCTTTCAAGAACAGTTCTAAAGAGTTAAACGGGAAGCTCAGTGGATCTTTAGCAGGCAAATCGAAAGGCAGAAATACCAAAATTGGCCCCTAATTTACTAATTATTAAAATTCGTTCCTCCTGGTCAAAAATTCCTAAATAGTGGGCCATGATCCCAAATGGATTTGTGTATAGCTGAATGTGGAGATAGTGAAAAGTCAGGAATAGTAACCAATTTCTGAGTGTGTCTGCACAAGTGTAGGCATGTGCTTATCGAAGTCAGAGGTCTGGGTGGGCTGTCTCTCTCAATAGCCTCTCAACCTTAGTTTGTGAGACAGGTTTTCTCACTGAGATTCAGCCAGACTGGCTGGCCAACAAACCCCAGGGTCTGCCTGTCTGCCTCTCACGCACTGGGATTGCAGGTGTGTTCCACTGTGCCCAGCTTTTTAACATGGGTGCTGGTGAGCCAAACTCAGGCCATCACACATGTGCTGCAAACCCTTCACTGACTGAGCTACCTCCCCAGCTCCCAGGAAATGGTTTCTGAACTTGCAAAGACCAAACATCAATTCAAAATCGGAAGGAGAATGAATTTAAGGTGGTTTGGTACTGCTTGCCCATGCTGCACTGTGGAACTGTACCAAACCCATGGTTCTGAACAGACAACATGCACAGTCCTCGGCACATGCCATCATGCCACACGATACCAAAGAACCAAGTGCTGCCTGAAACAGCTCGGCTCTGGTTTGACACTACTACATGGGAGAAAATGCATGGTTTTTCTAGTGCATGCGACGTCATCTGCACTTACAGAAACATAGTGGTTCAATTACAGAAAACAAAGATTTTGTATTCTCCTACCCTCATTGCTCAGCATGGAAGTATCAAATTAGTATATCTTTGGATTGGATTGGATTGAGACAATCAAGTACCTCCATCTCCAAGTACATGCATCCATAAGTACGCATGCAAATTTGCTTTCATCTTTCATGCTTATCAAGGAATTGTTTAAAAATAAAATCCTTTACGATTCATTATCAGCAAATGTTTGATTTGCATACTTATTTTAAGTAATTATATGTCCTGGGTCACATAAAAATATCGCTGGCATAAAGGGGTCATGAATGGGAAATGTTTAAGAAGCCTCACTCTAGATATAGGATATATATATACTTATATCATGACATAAATTTGATACAATATAATATTTTTATGTGAAGTTACAGATAACACCTTTCAGCCCTAAATATACATTTCCTTTTTTACTTTTCTTTAAAATGAGGATATTTCTCCATTGTTATTGTTTGGATATGAACTGTCCTACAAACCTTCATGAGTTGACAGCCTGGTTCTGGATGCAGCAGTGTTCAGAAGGAATTTATTAGAAAGCCTCTTTCCTTGTTGATGGATTAATGCATTGATGGATAAATGGCTGAGCTGACTACTGGGAAGTGGCAGAAATTACAGCAGATAGAACATACGGAAGAAAGCTTTTGCCAGCACCTGTCCTGGCTCCACCCTCTTGTTCCCTCACCCCTCCCTGCTTCCCGGCTCCTGTGAAGTGAGCAGCCTCCTCTGCCACAGTCACTCACTCTATTTTGCTTCACTTGAGGCCAAAACCAGTTGGGATCAGCCAACCATTGGTTGAAACTTCCAAAACTGTAAGCCAAAACATACATTTCCTCCTTACAAGCAGATTTTCTGAGGAACTGTATCACAGTGAGGGAAAGCTGACTTATACAACCTAACCGTGCAACTGTAACACCCCCTCACACCCAAAACGAATGAACTGTGATGTCATTAAGAGTTCTAAAGCAGTGTACTAATACAGTATACTTGTGACTTGATATAAACAAATCACAATGGCTCTGATTCAAGTCATACAGCATACGGCAGATACTTTCCAGAACACCTCCCTTATTATGCACATCATCATCACTACTGATCAGACTTTTCCACTTTCCACACAACACACACCTTACAGGAAGGTTGTGTTCCTTTCTAATTTTAAGATGTATTTTGTTTTTTTGTTTTATTTTATGTATATGTTTGCCTTCATGTATGTAAGTGCACCACATATGTGCCTGATGCCTGCAGAGGCTAGAGGAGGACATCATATCCCCCGGAACTGAAGGTAAAGACAGCTGTTAGTCACTATGTGGGTGCTGGGAACTGAACCCTGATCTCTGCAAGAACCACCAGTGCTCTTAAGTGCTGAGCCATCTGTCCAGTCCTTCTTCAAGCCACAGGAAAATCATAGTCAAGAGTACTCAAATATGAGTGATTCACCCAGTCAGCTCATTAACAATCTTTACGTTTACCTTCTTAGAATTTAAAAGGGATGTTGGAGGTTGATTTACATATTTTCCAGTTGTTATTCACTCAGCATATTAATTGGGCATCTACTATAACAAGCTTCCATTCAAACACTGTTAAATGTTGTATTTCTTTCCTTGGGAAATTCTCTGATAGAACTTTCAATCATGGATGAATGAAACATGAAGACACCATTTAGTCTAATCTCTGTACTTCATCCAAAGTGCATCAGTTCACACTTTAAGCTGCTCAGAACACCAAGTGCTCATATAATGATCAAGAAAGATAATCAGGCAAGGGATATAGCTCAACTTTTAGAGGGCTGGTATGGTACTCAGGAAGCCCTAGGTTTGATCACTAGCACTGCATAAACCAGGCAGAAGGTGCAATCCATAATCTCAGCACGAAGAAATGAAGGCAGGAAGATCAGGAGTTCAAGGTCATCCTCAGCTACATAGAGGATTCTAAGTTATCCAGGGCTATCTGAAACTGTGTCTCAGTAATAAAGAAAGAAGAAAAGAAAGGAGGAGGGAGGGAGGGGGGAAGGAGGGAGGGAAAAGAGAAAGACAGACCATGAATATAAAAGAAAAAAGAAATATTTATGTCAATATAGAAATGCTTTTAATCTTATCCATTCCAGAATCTGTATCTTTGGTCACATGATCCCCAGTACAGAAACATAATGTCATTTATAAATCCAGGCAGTACCTAAATTATAATTCTTTTTAAATGCTTCTTTAAATTCTCTCAATGAATTGTTACTGTCCTTGATAGTGCATTAACAATTTAATGATTAGCATCTCATAGTATTAAGTGATACAGCCAATTCAGTGCTTGGTACATGCTCAATAAATTACTGCCAAAGGCATGAATATATTAGTAGAAAGTTAGTATAATTTTCCCTTGCAAAATTATTATAAGAATTATAATGTTAGAATGATTTTTTAGAGAAGCCAACATTTTAGCAAAATAATGTGTACATAGAGGAAAGGTAGAATTTTGAAAATAGAAATTTATTAAATCTTGTCATGTGTCATGTGGAATGCTTCCGGAAACATTTATTTCTTTTTAAATTTAAGGGCAGCATCACTGAGCCTGGTCTCTATCATGTGATGGTATGTAGGCAGAGAGCAGCATTTCTTCTGCTCAATGATTGTTGTATTTGTACAGATGCTGAAAGAGTTGAAGCTATCAGTCAGCATCCACGTCAGTCAGCTCTCAGGACACAGAATTAATTGCCATCCTCAACAGGAACTCCATTTGGTGAAATCAAGGCTGGAAAAGGTTGGCACTCTCCCTTATTTACTCTTCAAAATGTAGATGATGTCACAGGGCACTGGAGTCCTTGTCAGAATGTGAACAGTTTCTGCCTTTGAACTGTGATAGTGCTGGGCCAGGGGCTTATAGGCTGCCTGAGTTTGCCTCCTGTACCGCCGTTACAGGTACTTTTAACATTCCCCCTGCTTTGCTTCCCTTGTCTGTAGACGAGGACTAGCAATAGGAGGAATCAGAGGATCTTCCCAGAGACCAAGCACAGGCCTATTTCAGCTCAGGCACTGGTGAAGACCACACCTCTCACCGTCCCCTTTGAAACGTGGTTCTGCTCATGCGCACACTCAGACTTCAAGACACTGCACCCGGGTTAGTGTAAAATGCACAAAAAGTGTCTAATAAATATACAGTCTTTTGTCTAACAGGAAGTCCCATGTTAAAAGACGTAACCTGAATAGGAAGACTCATCAAAGAGAAAAAAAACACAGACAAAAGTCCTGTGAGAAGGAGCTGTTTTCTCCCAGGGAACAGTGCTTTGGGGCAGGTAACGGCATCAGTGATGGTGGTTACATAGTTTTTGGAACTTGGGCGTGAGTTTAGGACTGAGATACTAGAGTGCTTTAATAATAAATGATAAGAAACGTACTTCTGAGGGAAGAAGTGGAAATCCAGAAGTCTATGGCTAGAACCCTGGGAGGCCTACTACCACCCCTTAGTGGACAAGCTTCAGTGGTACATGTCCGCCTCATGAACACAAAGCCTGGGTCTAGGGACACAGACAGAGGTACTACAAGCTCCAGGTAAGTGGTCCAGCCCACCTTGACATCATAGGAGGAAACCGTGCAGGTCTTCTAACAAAAGGTCACTGTTGATGGCCATTTTCCGAAGGGGGAAATACTACTTTTCCAAACCTTCATTTAACATTTGCTATTTACGGCTCTGTTGTTTTGACTTTCTCTTTAGAAACTAAAATTGCATATGGATGCCTTTGCAAGCACACACTACAGTTGCAGTGGAGAAGATGGGCTTCAGAGTTTAAAACCATTCGGTTCTTATCTGGGCAGAGTTATCTTGTCTACTTACTGTGAGATGGAACTTTACTCGGCCTCAATTTTCTCACTTACAAATAGGAAACTAGTAGCAAACTTCTGGATAGAGATTGTGTCTCTAACATACTTCACGGAGCCTGGTCCATAGCATGTACTCATTATTTCTGTGATTATTGAACAGCCCAGAGAGTCTCAGCTAGACTACAGAGACTCTCAGCTAGACTACATACACTCACCTTCTTGCAAAGGCAGACATACAAAATAAAATAATACTTACTTGGAGCAAAAATATAACCAGGCCTTGGAAGCTGGGAAATCTGGGGTCCTTTGCTCTCCAGGAATCACAGCTTGTGAGTGAGGAAAGAAGGCCAGGACCTTACGCCCAAGGAGAGCTTGTAGTGTATTTACTTCTGTCTTAGTCATAACATTTGGACTGAGCGGAAATCCTCTCCTGTAGCTTTACTTACAAATAACCAACTCTATTCAATGCCATTAAATGCAGAGCTGTTGCCCACAAAGCAGCACCAACTCCCCAATTCCACATTCTTTGCTCAAAGTGGAAACAAAATACAGGCGTCAGGCATGGACACTGGCCTGTAGCGCTCCTTACTAATCAGAACTTGACATTCAGATGCATCTGAGAGTAGAAGAGGAGGAAGATGCTGGAAGAAGAGGGGTATCCCTGGGGGGGGCGTGAGGGGCAGGCACGTGCTGAGAACACCAAGTATAAATGACACAGGCAAGGGTTTTCAGCAGCAGAGTCACCCAACAGTAGTAGCAGTGGGATTTCCAGAACTGCTATGACAGGACCCTAGAGGAAGAAAGGCTGCCATGGATCCCTAAAGAGTGAGGATGGAGTGGTTTCCAGAGTGGCATATTTCACTCTGTATTGCACAACTCATCTTGGCGCAAAAGGTCAAGTAGAGAAACACACTATTTGTCAGTAATGAACTTACATTATTTGTCAGTGCTAACAATGTATACATTTATGAAGGAAAACTGATGTGCTGTATTTAAAGCCATAGTGATTTAAACACAGTAGTAAACCTGTGATTAGAAAGAAACATGCTTCTATCAGGACAACGGGAGAGCCCAGGTCAAAGTTCTTGCATAAAACCCAGAGCCGCCATGTTTAGGGATATTTATGTTTAAGAAAATGAGTATTGATGCATCTATCCTACATTGACCCCTCAGTCAGGTTAGGACCAGCCCATCCTAAGACAGGTTTATATCTCTGCAGTAGAACACAGGCATACTCACAGACTATGAGAAATAAAGGTCACAGTAGGCATTAAGTCTATTAACAAATACTGGGTTTTCATAGCTCTTCGAGTTCCAGAATTACGAAAAGGAATTTATGGATCTGAATTTGGGTTGCTTCATTTTTGGGCTAAGTGTCACCAGTACCTACAGGAAAGCTTTTGTGTTGTATATTAATTATTGTTCTCTGACAACTTCACACGTGTATAACACATTCTAATTACTCTCACCCCCACCTTCTCTTATCTGCCTCCTACCCACGAATCTCCCATATTCTCTACAAACCTCTTTCCAAAACTCACGTCTTTCTGTTTTCTTTTGTAACTGAGTTTAACCAGGGCCCCCCTTGTGACTATGGGTCTGGAACTATGAACTGAAACTTCACTGTCTGCCAGTGGACACAGAATGGAAGACAATCTATCAGTAGCCAATAGTTCATGAGGGAGGTAAGACCCTAGAAGCCCCTCTCCTACCCGTGACTGACCGTTGACAACCCTGTCACGTGCCAACCCAGTGCAGGTACCAGGGCCACTGTGCCACTCTTTATCACCTCTAGGTGATAAAGCTTTTAAAAATATAATGACATCATATCCTCTCCTTGTTACTCAGTGTTTGCCCTAGAAAATTACAATAGCTGATTTTGTTGCTGTTGTAGAAACTAGAATGATAAAAATGTCAATGCAGTTAAGGACAGTTTGTAGCCGCCATGTGGGTGCTGGGAACCAAACCCGGGTTCTCTGTAAGAGCTCTCCAGTTCCAGGGGACTCCAAAGCCCTCTTCTGATTTCCGCAGCATTTCACAACATGGGTGCACTCACATACATGCAGGCAGTACACTCATACACATAAAAATAATAAATAAAATATTTTTTTAAATGTCAATGTAATGGACCATCACTATTCAGACAATAACAATCTGCTCTTACTGTGATAGGCTACACTTGCTTTGACACTCCTGAACTCACATCTGCGGACACTGCCTATTCATCTGAAACACGATCTCCAGGCAAACTTCAGCTCTTACCTGGGGTGCCCTCTGAGGTCTTTATGCCCATTCTACAGCAGTATTGCGCAATGCCGTAGTCTGCGATCTTGGCGATGATGGCAGCGTTGGGATACAGGGTGAAGAGCAGCACGTTGTGTGGTTTCAGATCACGGTATATGATCATGGCTGAATGGAGGTACCTGCCAGAGAATGCGTCAGAGACCTCACCAAAAGGCGATTATGCCATTTGTCATGACTTCTTTGACTGTGCTGTGTCTTCTATACAAAACAGCAAAAGACTGTGCGAATTCTGACCTTGAAACTTGAGATATTGTAAAAGGAACTCAAAACATAAAAAGCAAATATTACAAAGCAAGGTTATGATTTTTCACAAAAATAGACCATCAAACCTAGTGAGTTAAAGTTTAATACAAAACTCTGTCACACAGCAAGTTTTAGATGATTTCTTTAATAATCCTCTACAGTTACTAAAAAGAAACTCTGAATTCCCTCATTGATAAAATACAAATTTCTAATTATTTTTAAAATGTGACTACATCAGCTGGGCTGGTGGGGATGCCTGTACCATCAGTACTCAGACAGAAGCAAGAGACTAGAAGTCCAAGGCCAGTCAGAGCTGCACAGGAAGGCTCTGTCCCTGTCCCAAAGATACATTAAAAGGTCAAAAAAAGTCAAATACAAGGCAATAGAGTTTCATTATGACCTTCATTTTTGTTGTAACTTTCATTTATTTGTTTTGATTTTCTTAAAACTGTAGGAAAATGTAGCCAGGCATGGTGGTACACGCCTTTAATCACAGCAGTCAGGAGGCAGAGGCAGAGGGATCTCTGTAAGATCAAGGTCAACCTGTTGTATGTAGTGAGTTCCAGGTCAGCTGGGGTTTACAGGAGACCCTGTCTCAAAAAGAAAAAGAAAAAAAAATGTAGAGAAACATTAGCTTTAATTTTAATTTTTGGAGAATTTCAATGTCACAAGGCCTGAGATGATTACTATTCTTCCTTATGCTTTTGAGAATATTTTCTTCTTTTCAATAATAACAGATCAAAAAATAAGCTTTTCCTTAGCTATTAATCTCTGACTCTGCTTGAAGATATAATTTCCTATAAAGCTAATTTGTTGTAAGTTAAGGTTAACCAAAGAATATTTGGTCCTAGGGGATGAATAAGGTCCCATCTCGGGTAGGATGATGTCAGGGGCATAGGAGTGAACCATGCAAACACAAGTAACAGGATTTAGGCAGTTTGAACAAAGAAAATAATTGGGTAATATAAAACGCATTTTTAATCTCGCCTGGTATTATTCATTCTAGAGATAGTGGAGCGCCCACAGTTTCCCAACTACCCCAGTTATCGCCTTTTCTTAGACTTTAAGTTTCTGGTTTTCCTGGTCCTGCTGATCTCACAGGTACATCATGAACTTCCCTGAAAGAAGGACTTTTCACAGGACTTGATGAGGGCAATTTAAATCCTTTATTTATTTGTGGTTTGGGGTTGGTTAAGGTTCCATTAGTAAATATTTATTCAATTACCTCCTACCAATCACTGCTGGAGGATTAGGAGCAGAGAGGCTGTGATACCCTGAACTCCCCATTGTTGGGAAGCCTAGAAAGAACGCATCATTTAACTCCATCAGCTAAGCCGCAGGGTCTGTCTTCCAGGATGCACTTAGGCATCTGGCAGAGGGCTTGTTTCAGGACACACATTTCTCATTGATAAATAAAATAAACATTCTAATGAAGTTGACCTTAACAGTAAGTAATGAGTAAGTAATGAGCTTAAAAGGAAAATTTACTGAGGGCTTACCAAAGGCCACTAGCCATTCTTGTAAAAAGCGGGGAGATTAAGAACTAAAAAGTTAAAGCCAAGTCACACATCCCAGAACAGCATCCAAGATTTCATAATGCGTGCCTCTTCCAGTTACAAACAGAACTCTCTCAGAATACTTCTCAAAGGCTAAACAAGACACAATGTCAGTGGGAAAGCAAGATTATCTGGATTAATTAGAATTGTCAATTATAGAATTCAATCTTAAAAAGCACAATTTAATACTATGTAAGCTGCTAAGGGAGAAAATCAATCGATGGTCCAACCCCAGCTTTAAGGCCTAATAACCACAATGACCAGCATAGCATACTACACTGGTACAACAGTGGCACTTTTATCTTGGGGATAATAAACAGCTATCTAATTAAACTTACAGTCCACTCAATGGGAGGAAACTCATGTATGGTACTGTAAACCTAGCCAAATACACATGGCTGCAAAGGTCACTGATCTTAGAGAAAACCCTAAAGCTATCACATCTCTAGACAAATGTAATTTCTTACTATGTGCGAAATATGGATCCTTAAATTTACAGACAAGTATCTCAGTCACCACTCATCAAAGAAGCTTCTTTTGCAACAGGTGGAGACTATCACAGAGTTCCACAACTGGTCACACACAGAGAATAAGTGTCTGAAATGCCCAACCCTAAGAGACACATCTACAATGGTACCTCTGAACCTAAGACTCACGGAACATAATGGAACAAGGCGTAGAGGGAACACTAATGTATTGCTCAACTCTCATCAACAAAGTTCCCTCATGCAACAGAGGGCAATGATCACAAAAGGTCATAAATGGCCAAAGTGTGGAGAATAAGTCTGCAGAGTGTGGGTCCTTGGACAGGACTCCTATATTAAGCTCCACCAACCCAGGCTCAGGGACTATTGCGGAAGAGGGGGTGGAAAGACTGTAAGAGCCAGGGAGGAGGTTCATCATCATATGGAGACAGAGTCCTACAGGCTTCTGGGACCCTGCTCATATGAACCTACAGCAATGGTGTCAGCACACACAAGACCCATGCAAACTCAAGCAGACAAAACCCCAGCACAGATCTGGGAAAACGGGCAGCAGGCCCCAATCTCAGCTGAAGAACTGTTGGGCAACTGATTACTACTGGGTGAGGGAGAGCTGATCTTCCTTAAGGGAGTGACCATAGATAGGCTGACTAGACCCCAGTGAAGGGCATCTGGCTACACTAACTTGCCTCAATAGGCTTTGAAAGAAGGTATGAATGGGGGGGTAATGGGAGGGTGTGGACGGGCGGTATAAAGACGATTAAGATGTAGTGTATGAAATACACGAAAACTCAATAAAATATGCAAAAAAGTACAATTAAAATATTCTTATAATACTGGGGTTGGAGAAATGGCTCAGCAGTTAAAAGCAGTGGCTATTCTTACAGAGGACCTGGGTTTGAATCCCAACACCCACATGGTGGCTAACAACTGTCTGTAACTCCAGTTCTGGGGGATTCGACATCCTCTTCTGGCCTCTATAGGCATTGCATGACACAGGTGCACTTACATACATGCAGGCAACACGTTCATATATATAAAATAAAAATAAAAATAATAAAGACAATATTTAAATATCCTGTAATAGAAAAGAAAAACAACTTTTGAAATAGTTACTAAGAACAAATGTTTTCTTACAGACAATAATTCAGCCATAATTTGAGCACTGTACAGGAATAGGTATTGTCAAATATTTTGTTAACACAAATTATATTCAGTTAAACAGACTTTCTTTAATCATAATTATCATAAAATTACTAAGAAACCCCTATCTTCATAAAGTCAACTTTGTCTTATCCTGAATATTCTTATTCTAAAAATAGAATGCATTCATTCTTTAACAAAAATGTATTAAGCATCTATGAGGGCCAGTCATTAGTGGGCAAAAAACCATCCTTTTATCTCTGCTTTTAAAAAAGTCACAGTCTAGGAAGGACAGGTGCTCAGCTATAATAAGGCTAGAGAAATGTGTGAGTACCACATACTGATAAGCAGCAAGGTTTTAAAAAAGCTAGCAAGGTCGGCTCTCCCTCTAGCCTAAGTTTCCAACCTCAGGAACAGAGTAAGCACTAGCTTGTCGTCTTCGCTGCCTAACACAAAACCGTACATGGAGAAAGTGCAAGAAACACCCATGAACTGCAGGTGCAGAGGCAGGAGGCTGGGAGTTCAAAGCCAGGCTGGGCTACAAAGTAAGTCTCTGACTCACACAAAGAAAACGAAAGAAACAGACTCAAACACACACAAGGAAGCTCACTGTCTGTGACATGGTTGAGTCTCATGACAGGGTTGACACCTGAGCAGATTTATGTGGAAAATGAGTTCTCCAGGTGACAACTGTGTAGGAAGGAAGGCTGACATACATGAAGGGAGACACACGAAAGTCAGCCCTGATGGCCTTGCAGGTAACTGGGGATGCGAGGGAAATTTAGGCATAATTAGATTATTATTTCAGAGGAGATATTTTAATTCCCCGTAGACACTGAAGCAAGGTCAATAAAATAAACGAAGTGATGAAAATGACAGAATAGATTCAAAGATCTGATGAACAAATGGATATACACAGACATGGTCTCTCCATGCAGTGTAGGCTAGCCATGAACTCAGGAAGGGGCAGTAGCTGGAGTCAGAGAGGACACCGGTCTTTCTGCGAATACAGTGATCCTGCCCTGACACGTGGGAAATGTAAGAAAGACAGCTCATGATGGGAGGAGAGAGCAGGCAGATGAAACTAAACACAGAACACACTAAAACACCGAAAGTTTTAGAACTATAAAAGAACTATGAGGAAGAGGGGGCTAGAGAGACGGCTCAGAGGATAAGAGCACTAGCTGCTCTTGCAGAGGACCCAGGTTCAGTTCCCAGCACCCACATAACAACTAACAATCATCCATAACTCCAGTTCCAGGGGCTCCGATACCCTCTTCTGACCTCTGAGGGCATTGCATGACATGGTGCACTTATATACATGCAGGCAATTACACTGTATTCATACACATAAAATAAATAAAATAATTTTAAATACAATTATGAGGAAAAGCGGAACATACTGGATTCTGTCACAGCAGGATTTCAGAGGATGTGCATGGAGAAAGCCCTAGTGTGTCACTCTAAACAGCCCCGTTACCTGAAGGCCCTAAAAGGAGTGCAATTTTGTCATCTCTTTTTACCTCTGTAGTTACAGCCCCATGTTAACATATATTTGGAATAACAATCCTTAAAATTGAGTTTTTAAAAATATATTTAATAGGGCTGGATAAAAGGCACCTTTTAAGAGCACCAGTTAAGAGCACCTCTTGCAAAGGACTTAGGTTTGGTTCCTAGCACCCACATGTCAGTAACAATCAAGGGATTCAGTGCCCTCTTCTGGCCTTCACAGGCATTTCTTAACACAGGTGTACCTACATACATGCAGGCAAAACACTCATACATATAAAATTGCATATGTATGTATAACTGTACATATACATACATATATGTATGCATGTAGTGCTGGTGGATTGGCGGGTACTGATAGCTACCAGCCTCCTGTTGTGGCACCAGAGCTAAAACACCCTGACATTAGGCTAAGAGAAAATGAAGGAAAGTGTTGAAAACTATGCTGAAATTTCATTTGCTTCATCAGAAACCTTGAATTTATTATTTGAAGTAAGGCCTAAGAGAATGAGATTGAGTTGTGCTAGATCTGAGCCTTTTAATTTTTGACTAGAACATAGCAAGTCTTCATTTTATAAATCAACACTTTGGACGTTATGTGGAAGAATTAGGGAAACTCTGGGACTTGGAGTCTTGATTATTAAGGAAAATAACTGAGAAGCCTTTGAAACTCAGGAGTCTAAACTGACGTTTACCTAGATCGGTTTAACAGGAGGCGCCCCCTGGTGTTCAAAAGCAGACATGCCAACCCAAATCCAAATCCCTGCGCTCTGGGACATCTCAAAATCAAGCAAGGTTTTTAAGTACCTCTAGTCGCTTTCAGAAAGAGACTCTTACACATGTAACGAATGCATTATATTCTCTGAAGCTATCAACAGCCGTGTTTTGGCTGCTCTTGAGGCTGTCTATGCTTCCCTTGCTGTCTGTACCCTGTATGTTTCTAGATGCTGCCTGAAAGGACTCCTCACAGGCTTTTAGGACAGAAGGAAGTTTGCATATACTGCTTGGACGCAAGGTGCTACCTACTGTTTTCTTTCCTTCCTCCCTGCCTCCCCACTTCCAGTGTGGATTTCCTGAGGGCCCACTGTTCTGGAGACTGAAGGACAGGAAAGCAGGCCGGCAGACCCACATAAAACGACAAGCCGAAAGGACACCCCAGAGTCAGGCACTGCTGGTGGGTATAAAGCCCCTGTACATTCAGGAACCTGGGGGAGGCATACGGCTGAGCACAGGCACCAGGAAGTGAGGGAGGAGAGGTCAACAAGAGAAAGACCTGATCCAATTCTATGTCCTTCACAGACTGTGTAGTGGGATGGCAGGAGATGATGGGCACTTAAACAGGTGCTCAGAGAATCTGAGAGCTAGAAAGATGTGAGTCCTAGGTGTCAGCGGGAAAGACAGAAGGAAAGAAAGACGAGCACAAAGCAAAACCACGGTGACAGGAGGCAGGACAGAGGGAAGGGACATCGAGAATGACCTCCAGAGCCTGTGAGAGTAAAACGGGCCTTGGTCATAGTTTGCTGCAATATTACTATGCCAGGGTGATGGTCACCTAAACAAATAAAAGCTTAATTCTTGAAGTTTGCTCTTAAGAACACCTGATCCTGGAGGACACCTGTTCCCCTAGAGGTGTCTAGGAACTGCCTGTCTCTTGGAACGGTGCTGATAGAAGTGTCTTTGAAACATCCTGAGTCCTGTCCCATCCATGATTTTATGCAAGATGGCTTCCCCTGCTCCCCCTGGGGAAGCACAAGCTTTTCTCCACTCTACTCCTAACAGACTATCCACCTTTTCCTCTCTAGTTCTAGAGACCTCATTCATCCAAGGTCAATGGGCCTTCCCAATGTTCACTGAATGCCAAAGAGAAGGGGCACTGCCTTTCAGTGCTTTGATATATTAATTCTCAAGCACACCCACATTCATTCATTCATTCATCTTTTTTGATGGAGTACCAAACTGAGGTTGCCTAAGAAATAAGATCAGATGCCCAGGTCACAAAACACAAGAGCACATGGTTTTGCTGGGGTTAGTTTAAAATCACTAGTTCAGATTATGTCCATTTATAAAAGTTGTTCCCACAGCTGGGCAGTACAAGTGCTTGCTTTCCAAGCTGGAGGACCTGAGTTTTGATACAGGAGAGAAACAGGGTCCCCTTTTAGGGTCCTTAGTCTTATTCATAAAAGAAATTTAAGAATAGATTCAATGGAAGCTTTAGGACAATTTTATTAGAATTTAAGGAAAAATCCTCAGGCATTCATTATCTTTTTGGGTGGAGTACCAAATTGAGGTTGCCTAGGAAACAAGATCAGATGCTCAGGTAACCAGACACAAAAACATATGGTTTTTGTTAATTAGTCCAGATTAAGTCCATTTATGTCATTCCCACCGTTTGCAGACTAAAAAAACAAAAAATGAGTAGGCAATCAGAATCAGAGAGAGAAAAATTACAGTTACTAAGTTTATTCCACAGTGATTTATCACAGTCCTTTTGTTTTCAGACATGGCCTTTCTGCTCTGGGGTGCTGCTTCTGAAGGCTCCATCTAGAATCCATCCGCAGCGTTGGGTGTATCTCTGAGGCACTTGTGGAACCCAACACATGTCCCTCTGGTCCCCTTCAGAAGTATGGGCTAATCTTTCATTACTGGAATTCTCTACTTAACATTTTCCTTGATATTTGCAAGGCTAGCTTACTTCTTTTTAGGAGAAATCTGTCTAGGGTTAAGACCACGAGCTCTAGAACAGGAAGCCTGGGTTAAATGCTGCTGCCACCAGCTATGAAGTTCTGCACTCTTTTGTTATTTATTACATTATAGTTACAAAACTTGATCAAGGAAATTATAGTTTTTGTGAAAACTGTTTACCGAGTGCTAACAGGGAGCAGTGTTCTTTGAGCCTGGGAGCGAGTCCAGGGTCACACTTGTCAGGAACTAAATAGAAACAGTAGCACCCCATTACCTCAAGCCATCAGCCACATGCAGGGCGATCCTGTGCTGGAGGGTTCTGGTGAGGCTGGCTTTGTCTTGCTGAAGCAGGCGATCCAAGGAGCCCTTGGAGGCCAACTCCATCACCAGCATTCGCGGTCGAATCCCAGCCGCCAGCAACAGTATCAAGCTGGGGTGGTGGAGGTGGCAAAGCACCACCAGCTCCTGCAAGAGTCCAGAGTCACATGAGTCCCACATCACCAGCCTCTCCTGTCTTCTGCATTGTATCAACGTCAACTCCATGACCAGCTCTCACTGGTCACAATAATCATTGGACTATTGCAAACTTTCCTTTCTTCTTTGAGCTTTGAAAAGAAATTCTAACCACTTTCAATAATAAACAGCTAATTCTGAACTGCCATTGGAGTTAAAATTTTAAGTTCTATTTTTGTTTTTGACCTGTTTCTGTGAGAACATTCGTTGCAAGAACAGTATGCATACACAGTCATGTTTAGAGGTCATAATATCTCAGCCTCTGAATGCTAGTTAGTCACAGAATTTGTCTCAGCCCAGGATTCTGAGTAGACACTGCTGAGTCAACCTCAGTCAACATAAGGGGTAAGCTGTAGTCGCTGGCTTTATAACTCAAGGTTGTAACCATGTATCCGAGGATACAGGGTTAAGTCCATGGGAATAGATGGTAATCCCTGCCTGGTACTCTAATGCCTTCTATTACCCTTGGATTAAATTCCCATGTATTTCCCTGTCCTGAGAACCTGACCTGACCTAACTCCGCTCCAGCTCTCAGGCCCCCCCTCCCTCCTTTGATGTTCTTCTCCATCCACCACCCCTCAGTCATACTCATATCCTTCAGTCCTCAGCATGAGCCAGCTCCTCTTTACTGGGACCTTCACCTATGTGAACAACTCTCACTTGAGAGCCCCTCTCCCGTCACAGGGCTTCCTGACAGTTGGATACAAGCTCCAACATCACCATTTTAAGTGCCCTGTCTTGGTCCACCTGTCCTAGAGTCTCTGCAGCTGTTGCAAGGAGCAGAGATGCCGTGTAGCTTTGACAGCCCTTTCTCTGGACCCCACCATGAGCAATGTTAATGCTCTCCTAAGACATCACTGTGTTTGAATTCCACATCCAGTTACATTCTGGATATTCAAACTGACGCTGAAACTGTAATTTAGTGAAATTCAGCTTTGCTAGAATTGTATCCTTCTGCACCAATTCTATATTACATAGGACTACTTTCCCATTTCTTATAGTAGTGGTGTTTCTGAATTCTATAGACAATTTTCCTTTGTCTCTTCTTTATACTGACACCATAATTTGGTTGAGGTTTTCATATGTGGTGTTAAGCTGGCTCATGTTTTGAACTGTGGTGACAGCATAATCTCTGCTTCATAACAACCAGCTTCAGGGATGCAGAGAATCCCTGCCAACCTCATTTCCCAGGAAGCTGAAGTGTGCAAAGTTCTGAACATCAAAGAGAGGCTGGCTGTCCTCAGAGGACACTTTACCAGACTTAGGGCTGCAGTCACGTGAGCTTAGTTGGTAAAAGCCTTTCTGATTAGCCCAGTTGGTTAAACCTGAGGCAAGTCCAGGTAGTTCTCTTCAGTTTCACCGACACAGTCTGAAAACTACCACCACCCGACTGACTGAATGGAAAACAGCCAGAATGTGTAGCAGAGCTTCCCCAGTTCACAGACGGGAGCCAGAACGTGCACTGTACCTTCCCAGCTCATAACCACTGGCAGTACGACCCTCAAAGTGCAGCCCTGAACATCAGGGTTTTCCTCTTCTGTTTAAAAGAGAAGTGCGCTATACACACTCTATTTTGCATTTCTTTCACCATTTCGTCAGCGCACCTCAGTCCACACACTGATCGGCTCCCCACGTGTTCTTAGTGTTTGGGTCTCCAAGCACATTCTATGAAGCCTGAACTACGTATAAAAGAAGGCTGAAAAGTCAGCTGTTAGGATAAATTACCCAGGGATTGTAGGAGATTATTCTAGATTTGGTTCACAGGTTTGCTTCAGTTTTAAAAATGTTTCACTATATTCCTATAACTAGAATGTGACTTTAGACAAATATGAATTTTTTCATTATTTAGGCTAAAATTTTACACCATAATTTTGTTTCTTTTGGGGTTTTGTTTTGTTTTCATTTTTTCATTTTCAGGGTCTCCCTGTAGCTCCAGCTGATCTGGAACTCACTAGGTAGACCAGGCTGGCCTCCATCTCATAGGGATCCAACCTGCTCTGCATCCTGAGTGCTGGGATTAAAGGTGTGTACCACCATGCCCAGATATATGACAGTTTCTAAATTTGGTAAAGTTTATTTCAATTCAGACATTAAGGACATTTTTAATTTTTATTTTATGTGTATGAGTATACTGCCTGAATGCATGTAAGTGCACTATGTTGTGCAGTGCCCTCAGAAACCAGAAGGTGTTGGATCCCCTGCAACTGGAGTTATGGATGGTTGTTAGCCACTACTGTGGGTCCTGGGAATTGATCCCAGTTCCTCTGCAAGAGCAGTCAGTGCTCTTAACTGCTGAGCCATCTCTCCAGCCCACAAAAGATTTTTTTTTGTCTTTTTGTCATAGGGTCTCCTTGTAGCTCCAGCTGGCCTGGAACTTGCTATATAGACCAGGCTGGCCTTGAACTCACAGAGACCCACCTGCTTCTGCCTCCTGAGTGATGGGATTAAAGACATGCACCACCACACCCAGCTACACAGAGTATTTTTAATAAGTAAAGCAAAACTGTGAGGGTGAATAGACTTCAGGCTTATGTACCAAGTTACAAGAGTTTTCAAAACACTCTTTTCCGTCATTTATCAGAATAAAGAAAAGTTTTAAGTCCATAAAGAAATGATGAAGTGGAATTTCATAGTTAAACGTAGTCTAATTTTTGAGAGAAATGTCATGATTTTGCATTTTGACAACTGCATGCAAAACAGAGTCCCAGGAGGTTAACAATGTACGACTTAGTATTGTAATATTGTTGAGTTTCTTACTTGTCGTAACAGCCTGAGTGACGTATGCTTATTAAAAATCTTCACAGCTACTTCTTCTCCTTCATAGGTGGCTCGATACACTGATCCAAAACTGCCATCACCTTTTGAAAATAAAAAGCAAAGAAAGCATTTAATCTTTCTAAGCAGAGAAGCCAGATAAATAATATGTGCTATAGTTATATCTGTTGTATATTCAGAAAAATTGGATCCACTTGTCGATTGAATCAACCTCTTGCAAGGCTTCCCTGTCCCTCCATCCCACAAGCTACAATTCACCTACAGACTCTGTCCCCAGCCTGTCCTGTCACCATCTGTGCATGACCTTAAATCTCAACCTCAATGGTTCAGAAGTTGAGAAACATTGATCTAGGCTGCCTTCTATAAACACACATGGAATATATTAGAATATACGAGCATCTAGGCACTAGAGAAGGGAGAGCACTTATAGAAACATTTTCCTATCTAGGTAGTTAATGAACCATCAAACACAGGTGCTTAAAGTAGCCTTTGTGTTTCTACACACACTGCTCAGAACTTGACAAATCTGAAGCACATGTCAATCAGGACAACTATTGTAGCCACTCTATCTGATGACAGCTTGGGAAATCAGAGAAGGGGCACATCATGTCTACTGCCTGCCCATTCTTTCTGAGTCATCAGTCAAGTCTGGTGTTGGTTAAGGGGTAAAATTTAGTACTGGCAATTTGGCATTTGGATCAATGCACTATCACTGATGCGCTCACTTCCGAAGTTCTGAGACATTTAAGTTCAATGTGAACAACAAAGGTTTAAAGGAATTTATTTGGCATCATATGTCATTCCCAAACTTTGGAAATTTTTTCTACTAATCTATCCTGACAGATATTGGGTATTCCCTCCATGGTAAGTTAAAGCTAAATGGGTACACACGTAACAATGACAAACACCTCACACAGCATAGTAAAAGCTGTCTTCGGATGATTTGGATTCAATCCACCCAATGCCTTTTCAGCTTTCCAGTAACTTCCAGAGAGGTTAGAACTTGAGTGTGTCACTCTACAGTTAACAGCAGTGTACTGCACCTAGAAACTGCCAGGAGACTAAGTTTTTAAAATATTTTATTTCTTATTTTTATTTTATATGTATAAATGTATTGCCTGCATGTGGATAAGTGAACCCATGACATGCAATGCCCACAAAGGTCAGAAGAGGGTGTCGGATCCCCTGCAACTTGAGTTATGGATGGTTGTTGGCTGCCATGTTGGCGCTGGGAACTAAGCCAAGGTCCTCTGCAGGAGCAGCCAGTGCTCACAACAGCTAAGCCATCTCTCCAGCCCCCAAGAGACAGAGTTTTAAGAATTCTCACAGACAAAAGGATAATCATATGCAATCACGAATATTTCAAATATTATAGTTTACCTATACCACAGACACACACACACACACACACACACACACAGACACACACACACATGCACACACGCACACATCCATTTTATTCATCAATTAAAAAGTAAAACTTCAGAACACATATTTTAAACAGCTAAATACACAAGGGCATCAGAGGCATTGGCCGAGCCTTGGCTCTAGTATATTACCAACTTAATGCTTCAAGTTTTCAGGACCAAATATCTCATGAGAATTCCACGTTGCCACATAGGCAACAAAGCTGTGACAGCAAGTTTTCTGCTTTTCCTTATTTTCTTTGAGATGAGAAATGGCAACTTCAGTCAACTGAAGATCTCACTGTCTACCTCTTCATCCCTGGTGAGCAGCTCAAGTTCAAGACATATTCCATAAGCATCTCTACCTCCTAATAGTCCTGTCTCCATCTCCTACTCTGCTTGAGTGTATAGAAAGCAAATCCCAGGTCTGCAACATGATGTAACTTTAAACTGTATCTTTCCAAAAGAATCATCATATCAAATACATAAAAACAGTAAAGATTCATAAAGATATGATTATGGTATCTGAATCTTTTCTACATTGTGAGGAGAACATGGCAGTCTATCTTTTCATTTTCAAAACAACAGAGACAGTTACCTAAGAGAAACTCAGGAGTTTGTTCAAATTCCAGCTCATCATTATTCAGCATGATGGTTCTAGGCAGGTCAGCCAAAATCAGGTCAGGAGCAATCTGAGATATTGGAATGGTGAGTCTGGGTTGATCTGGATTAACCAGAAGATCTCCTGAGAAGTACGTAAAAGAATAGTTTTAAAAATCTAAGGATATATAAAATTTGTGGTCTTGAGTTACCAAAAAACATACATATTTTACATCATTTCTAGTCACATTTTTAGGTATTCCTACCAGCCTTAGATTTTTCCAGAAAATTTGAGAATTATGTAAAATGCTGATATTAGTGTACTTAGAATTTTAAAAACGTACTCTTAGGTTCATTCATTGGGTCACAGAATTCAAAACTGCCTTAGAACATGGCTGTTCTAATAAAAGCAAGCTCTTACTGTCTGTCTCTGCCACATCTGTGAAGGACCTGCTACATGCAGGTTGGATTTCAGTCTCCTACAATTCTATGGCCTGGGCTTGTTTAGTATTTCTACTTCAAAGACAAGGTTATGTTGCTAAAACACTCAGTATTCAATGTCAAAACAACATTTTCAAAACACGGGACACAGATCTTATGGGTAACAAATGTACTTTACTTTTCTGAAATGTCACTGTAAGTGAATGTAGTATCGTTTAACTCAACCCTGTGCACAAGACGATATTTACATGTGAAAGTCACTTTAAATATATTGAAGATATCAGAAAAACATGTGGAAACGGTGTTGGCACACACCTTCCTCTGCTTTCTTCATCAGGTCATCAAGCAAGATTTTTTGATGTTCTTCACCATCGTTAAAACTGTATAAAGCCCATTTCTTTAACAGGGTTTCTCCTTCACCGCAAATATCAATCTCTAGCAGTCCAGGAAACCACTCTTCCATGAGAGAATCAATGTGGTCCACAACTTGGCCCAAAAGAATACAGCCTACATAATTCAAAAGAGATGTACAGGCAACATGACAGGTTAGAAGCTACCTCAGTGGGCATGATGGAGAAGAATCAGGTAAGAAAAAGAAAGGATTCTAGTACAACGAGACAAAGAGCAGAGTTCATAAATTCACAAGGGGTGACAGTGAAGAAGGACAGAAAGACAGAGATGATTAAGGGTTCATGGGATGGGAAAGGAGCCCCTTACCCAAGAGTCTGGTTGAAGCCTGTCATCACCAGATGAAAGTCAAGAATTTCAGCACAATTAACATTTTTCTATGAAGACTACATACATGGAGACAATATTCTTTTACATGAATGTATTTTCATGGGGTGGGGAGGTGGTTCAGAGCCTAAAGTGGTTGTTGCACAAGCATGATACCTGAGTTTCAATCCACAACACCTACATAAAAGCCAGGTATGGCCGCCCGTGGCTGTAGCACCAGCAGAGGGTGATGGAGGCAGACAGATCCCCAGGGCTCACTGGTCAGCCAGTCTAGCCAAAACACAAGCTCGAGGTTCAATAAGAGACCCTGTCTCAAAAACCAAGGTGGCGAGAGATCGAGTAAAACTCCTGATGTTGACCTCTGCCCTTTACATACCCAAGTATGGGTGCAGACCTGCACTCAGGCACAAACACCACACGTACCAATCATACATCAAGAAAAGATCTATTTCCAAATAAGAATGATGAGACAACAAGAAACCAGGCCTGAGTGTCTAAGACTTCAGGTTGGGCCTCAGCCCTCAGAGACTCTCACGACAAAGCTATGACCCTTCTTCCATACTGGAGATGTTCTAACTTCTGTGTCCCTGTGATCTCAACTTTCACTTTATCAATCATAAACTTGTCTTGTGTACATCAGGAGTCAGTCTATGATCTTATTTCAATTCCTTAGCAACCCTTTGAAGATAATAACTGTAGAAATCAGCCAGTCCCTTACACAACAACTGTAATGCCCATGAAGCATGACTCTCCTTGAGAGGCCCACACCAACCTCTCCAGTGATCCGTATTTTCCTTCCAAATGCCTCCCTTTCTATTAACCCATGTACTTAAGGTCTAGGTTTAAAAACGTCTTGTAACAAACTCCAGCTCTGCTTCACATCAGCTTCTCCTGAAATTCTCTGCTGTGATGAAGTCAAGGATCTGGCTTTACCTGAGTGGAGGGCCCTGAAGGATAAGGGAATTCCTCGGGCTGCCGCAAGTGCCAGTGTGGAGCTGTGTCACCTTTCCATGGCTGTCAAGGCAGGGGAAAGTGAGGGGACGGGCAGTACTAACAAGTTAGCCACGTTGAACACAACTCCAACCCTTCAGTTACCCACAGGGAGAGGAGACGGACACTTTGCCCAAAAGTAAGCCAGATGGCCCTGGTGAAAAGAGATTGACTGTCCTGTCCACAGGACAGGGCAGGGAGCTCTCACAAGCCTCAGCTGGAGTCGCAGAGCTAGCTAGACAGTGAGTCCTCTCGTGGGATGGGTCAGAGAGGGGAGGAATTCCATTCTGTCACTCTGTAACAAGAAAGTGGTCAATCCCCATCTTGAGAGGGAAAGTACTGCTTAACACTGAGCTACTACGGAGGACTGACAACAGCCAACAATCACCAGTCAGGAAACCTGAATTCAACTATCCACAACCCCAGACTGAAGACCACCCTGGGACCCAGTCATAAAGAGCAGAAAGGACTGGCTGCTGGCAAGCCAAGAGGCCGGAGGAGGCCCGGGCCGTGATGTGTACAAGGCAAGGTGGCCTTGACCTTGGTAGTCTCATCAACTGAGATTTACTCTGGAGTTTGGTAGGCCTGGCCCTGAGGGTAGTGGTGGATCTCCAATGTGGCATGGTCTGAGAAGTTTGAGGCTGTCGCAGACATGCCATTCACATGTCTTGAAAGTACAGAGTCCCCCTGCACAGACACCCCCTACGGACATAGAACATTTGCCCAGGGGCCATGATCTGGGAAGCCTCAGGAGTGCAGGAGAAACTGCCCATCCCCAGACTGAAAAGCTGTACGTGACCAGCAAAGGTAACATGGTTCATGAGAACAGCGCTGACAGACATTTGTAGAAGAATCGCTAGATCCATATCCCTCACCCTGTTTAAAAATTAATTCAAAATATCTAAAAGACCTTAATGTCAGATGTAAAACTCTGAGACGGCCAAAGGAAAACACAGGCAAAACACTTCAAGATACAGGTAGGGTCAGGACTTTGTGAAAAGGACGCTAATAGCACAGAAAACAATATCAAGATCGGACAAACAGGACTGGATGAAATTTAAAAAGCTTCTGTACACAAAAGAGAACAATCAGTAGAGTTAAGAGACAGCCTACAGAATGTGGGAAGGTATTTTCAGGGGATTGATATCTAGACTCTATAAGAATATCAAAAACTAAACACCAAAAAAATCATCCATTCAGTAAATGGGCTAATGAATTGAATAGAAAGTTCTCAAAGATGAAATATGAATGGTCAATAAATGTTTGAAAACATGCTCAACATCCTAAGCTATCAGTAAAATGAAAATTAATGTTACTCTGGGAGCCATCTCACTCCATTCTGAATAACTAACACCAAGAAAACAAATGGCAGAAGACGTGGGGAAAGAGGAACCCTTATTCACTGCCAGTGAGACTCTAAGCTGGTGCAGTTACTGTGGAAATCAGGGCAGCGGTTCCATAAAATCTAAAAATAGAACCACCATATGGCAGTTATATCACACTTGGGAATACTCTTGATGGAGTCTAAGTCAGCAAATCACAGAGACATCCACACCATGTGTACTGCTGCACAGGTGAATGGAGAAACAAAATGTGACACATATTCTAATCTATACATTGATGTTCTATTCAGCCATAAAGAATAACATTATCAAACAGGCAGAACTGTAGATTATTATGCTAGCCAAACAAATTAGATTCAGAAAGACAAGCATTGCATGTTTCCCGGCATATGGGAAGCCTAGATGTAATACGAATATTCTATAGGTGGAAATGCCTACATGAAGAGAGAAGGAACCCAGGGGAGGAAGAGGACATTCAGACGGGGTGGAAGGAGCGAGAGCAGATGGAGCAAAGTGATAAAAGATCACGTTCTCTCACACAAAGGATCTAGATTTAAATATGTATGCATGTGCGTGTGTATTTATGTGTGACATAGGAGTTCCAGGAGGGGAGCTGTGAGAGGGAAGAACAGGGTGGTATTGGAGAATGAGGGTACAACAATACACATGGATGGAGGTGTCACGGTGAAGACTAATTCAAAAAAGTAATTTAATTAATTTACAGTGCTCACCAGTCTCACACAGTCACAAAGCTAAAGAATGGGAAAGTTATTGGGCTTGGGGATGCACCTGTTTTAAGTTTTGATCCAGGTCCTTGCTACATCTTAAACTCCTAGACTCCAGTGGTTTGCCCACAGCCTCCCGAACAGCAAGTGAACCCGGGCACATGGTATGGTTAAATGTGTTGTATTTTTAAGGTTACTAGTACAATTCATGGTTCAAAATTAATTTCCTTACCTTTTCTACAGGATGGAACTGTAATTTTCAAGAAACTCTCTGTGTGATTGTCCAAGACCTCAGATCCTACTAGACAGTAAGCCTCGGGAGACCAGTTCAAGTAGATCCCTTGGCGCCAGTACATCCTGTTTGGGCGAAGTGCTCTTTCTGAAAAGAGTTTAAATAGATACATAGTATCCATTAATTATTAACTACTTTACCAACTAAAGGAGAAAAACTACAGCTTATGTCTTAAGTAACCTTAATATATACTTGTTTCGAAAAAAAGTATTGATTTATTTAATCATGAGTCCTTGTCCATATAAATATATTAAAATTTATCATTACTATTTCAGTAGCATAAATTAAATCCCTGTATGTTATCCAACATACATTTCAAGATGCTGTTAAATAATTTAACATGATTAATATATGAATACAGAGAATCATAAGTTTTCATAATTTTTGAAAAAAAATAACTCATATTAAAATCATTCCTGAACTTGTTAACACATTCTAACCACCTTTGTGTTCATTAATTCCAGAAAAGACAAGATTTATCTCAGAAACAAGAAACACCTGCAGTTATCTTTTAAGCAAAAAAAATAATATAAAAAAAAAACCCTAAAAACAAAAACCTGATGTTTTCCATTTGGAGTATTAAGACATCCTCAAGCTTGAGAATGAAAAGCCACCAGTTTGGTCCCTTCCTGTGACTCCATGGGGGATGGGCGGCAGAAGAGAGGTGCTACAGTCTCTCTTGTGGATGGTTGGGACATGTTCCACTTGAACAGAAGTCCCTCACTATGCAGCGGTCATGGCCATGCTGCTGTTGGTTCATTTCTGGGTACACAGTTAAATGGATGGCCCCTAGTGAATTTCTGTAATGCTTTTATTGATTCAAGAATTTCATAAAATGTATTTTGATCATAATCAGACCCCCTCCTTCTATCCACTCCCTGACTTCATGTCTTCTATTATTTTTTTCAAAGTCTGTGTTTCCCAAGTGCTCCTGGGTGTTGCCTTGGAGTCTGGTGAATGGACCAGGCATCACATGAGTAAAGAAAACTGACTCTCCCTCTCACAGCACCCATCAAATGCTAACAGATCGTCAGCTAGGGCTGGGGCTTCCTGCCCACCTCCCCATCTGTGCTGGTCCCTGCCTGGCTTGGGTTGGCACAGGTCTTATGCATGCTGTAATAGGTGTAATGGGTTCATATACGCCACTACCCAGCTTCTCCTCCCAAGGCTCAGGGATCACTGCAGAAAAGGGAGCGGAAAGATTGTTGAGAGCCAGAGGTGGTGGATGAATTCAAGGAAGCTATTCAATCTCACCTTTTAAAAATACTGCTCCTCATTTGCTAACTCTTAGAAAGCACAACACTCATAGTTGTTAGAAATATGTCTAAAATAGGAACTGAAGAGTCTTCTTCCCAGCTGAGCTGGTGTGTGCTCCTGCGTGGAGCAGTCTGAGTTTAACGTGACAGCTTATTTTCTGAATTCAGTTGCCTTCCAACAAGTAGACTCTGGAAAAATGCTGTTACTTCTAATGTTTCTTCCTAGATTCTCTAAACATGAAGCTTTTTTAAACACATACCTCTTCCAGAAAGCATGAAAGGTGAAATTTCAAGTAATCGATTAATTAATCTGGACCAAAATCCCATTGGAAAGTATGGCATTTCATATAATCTAATGATAATTTCGGAGTTCTCACAATGAGGGAGCTCAATCACAGGTCTGTGGTCAGATAAACTATGGGAGAAAAGGATACCATCAGAATACACCCAACCATGGTCACCAAAGTATTTCACTGCTTGAATCCATGGGGATGAATATTCCAAACAAGAATCCTGTTTTGAGATCTCTCTTGCCACATGGTCTTCCACATCAAGAATTCATTTAATCTGTTCAAATTCATGCTCAAATGTAGAAGAACCATGAAATAACTTTTTCTACAATCTTATCGTATTCATAATTATAGCAATTAGTTATGCATAGACAGATGTTAAGACTATATAAAACTTTAAAAATGCATGTCCTAGGAAAAGTACATACCTATATTTAGAATTAGCTGCATCCAGCTACCAATATAATTTGCACTTTCAACATGCTGCTTTACAGCTACCTTCAAAGCAATGAGAAATTTTTCTACAATTCAGAGCTAAAACACAGGCCTCCACTGTGGTTTCATATTCTTTTAAAATTCTGTTGAAAACTCACTATCTCCCTCCAACTTCCCTAGCTTAATATAACGGTTTCATTGCCAAGTAAGGAGACACACACACACACACACACACACACATACACATACACCTCACATGTGCATGTACATCTGCATGCACACGTACATATAAAAAATAAA